TCACAAGTTTCCTTCGTTCAAGTTTGAACCCCCTGATTGGGTATGAAAGTGTTGAAAAGGAATATTCTCAGATAAATTATGGACATACAAAAATGGATATATATTTATATGAAGCAATACATTGAGAATATCTACTCTTTTTCAGTTTATTCAATAGAAAACAAATATTTTCCTGGCTATATGCCACGACGAACATATAGCCAGGAAAGTAGTTGTTTTTTATTGAATAAATTGAAAAAGAGTAGATATTCTCATCACATAGAGAATGCGAATTCTCAATGTATTGCTTCATATTAATATATATCCATTTTTGTATGTCCATAATTTATCTGAGAATATGCCTTTTCAACATCGTTGAAAATGTAAATCAAAATCTAATAGCTAAACCTACATACACTCCACTTAAAGTCTATACAACCGATTATCGAAATCTCCAAAGTTGGTCTATGTAAGTCTATTTCTTAAGAAAATGTCTTTCAGAACATTCATGTGAAATTTGGGGCAATTTTAGTTGTGCCCTTTAGAAATATCGTCGAATTTGTTGTAGCAATGAAGGATATTTTTATTCGTGAATTTGAGGAACTGGTTCCTCAAGGAAATATTGGAAGCACACTGAAAAAACATATCGCAAAAATAACTTTCAGTCACCCGTGTGAAAACTTTCCTTTAGACCAGTTCATTGATTTATATTGCAGAGTCCGAATTTATTTCACATTGACATTTGCTAATCGAAGCATAAAAACCGGAAGAGTATCCAAAGTGAATACAAAACTCTCAATACTGAAGCATTTGTAATTATTCCTTATAGAATATGTAATCAATTATCAGTTGTAATATCCCTGGGACATTGATAATAGACGAGATAATTTTATGACAATCGAAAGCTCGTTCCTTGGTAACAGCCCGAAGCGAAGGCTGAGGGCTGTTACTAAGCAACGAGCTTAAATTTTTCATAAAATTATGAGGTATTTGTCAATGTCCGAGGGATATTCAGCAGAAAATGTTGAAAAGTAGTCGAAGTCAACCGTGTTGTCATAGTGATTGTTAATTACACTGAATGTAGTTATCATAATGATGTTGGTTTGATTAGTTGTGTTCAATCATATGACCAAAAATTCACTTATTTCATTAGATTTCTACTTCAGCAGAACATTTTGATTGGGATTTCTTTTGATGTACCCATAAGTATCTACATTTTTTGTTTTGGTATATGTACGCAATTATTATTGTCGATTGTTTTGGTAATATTCGAATAAACTTCAATTCTTAATTTATTTTTGATTCATTCGTACCTATTCAATGCCCAACCACGCCTATCACATGAATATTTCGACCACAGTCAACTTTCGAATCATCACAGGTACATATGCATCGCGCGAAATAATTTTCCATACCCCCGTATCTACAGCAAATTCTCGGAATCGGTACCGCATTAAACCGCAAGGAACACGTGCAGCGGTCCCTTCAGATCTCTGAACATGAAACGGCCGACGAAGAGTGAGTTAACTGATACTCATTCCTTAAACTGTGACCATGTCAAATACAGTGCAGACTCGATAATCCAAACTTATAAAAACCAAGGCGATTCGAATTACCAAAAAATTCGGATTACCGAAGCAGTTTTTTTTTAAATTTTTTATTACGAAATGCAAAAAAAAAACATAAATACGAAAAATTAACACTGAAATATGCATAAAAGTAAGAATATAATACTAGTTTCTAAAGTAATTTGTAATTTTTGTTTGCTTAGCACATCTTCGATTATTTATAGAGGCCATTTCTTTTAATCTTTGAAGTACAAGAATATCATTTAACGGAATATTATTTTCTTCCTTGCGTAATGTGAATCCCAGATACTAACAAAAGAACAATTAGAAGAATCCCTGAACATTTCACTCACAATTTCTATAGGAAATAAATAGGCCTAAAGGTATAGGTTCGGATTATCGAGTAAATGAAATTCGGATTATAGAGTACTCAATGTATTAAAAATGCTTGTTCGGACTACTGAAGAATTCGGATTATTGAACGTTCGGATTATCGAGTCTGCACTTTATAGTTATTTTCCTAACAAGTGCGGAAATTAATTCTTTCCCGCACGCGACTGCCGTTGACACGAACGACGCGAAGCGGAGTTCAGGCAAGTAGTCGAGTGCGGGAAAGACACTTTCCGCATGAGTTAGGAACAATATTTTTTCAGCGTAGGAAATTGACTGATTTGTTCGATTAATTTTTCATGCAAATAGGAACAACTAACAGAAGAAATATATTCTCTATCTACTAATTATTAGTAATAGCTATTGTGAATTTACAGTTTGACGCATTATGTAGGTTCATTGCGGAAGCCAACAGGCCCATAAGGTGTTTGCTCTCTAGGTTTCAGACACTTCTAGGATATGAGCCAAAAATACTTATTCTCCATTCGGTATTTTAATTTCTTCATTGTTGCGCCATTCAATAAAACGCGTGTATAGCTTCTCATACCTTTCTTAAGACTTCGTTGGCAATAACGCATCTGTATCGAATCCCTATAGCTAGAAGTTTTTTATCACATTGTGGCAATTCCACTGAAACAAAAATGGCAGTAAAGCTGTGTCTGTCACTTCGACAATTACAAACTTATTTGAGGTTTGATTGGCATGACAACAATAATCGTTTCCCTTCAGATCAATACAAATCTATAAGGGGATATTTATAATAATCAATTTTGATTTTTCAATATTTCTTAATTCTCACAATAAATTGTGCAATTTGATGGATGATTCTGACCATACATACACTGCGACAAACAAACCTAAACTTTCATATTCCATCACCAACCACTTATATTTTGCGATCTCATCATATCTTTGTTTTTCCCGCATTGTTGCAGGAAAATGACACTTCCCAAACTAAATTGCGTGCGGGTATTGGGTGAATCACGCACGCTTGTAGGAAAAATATTTTACGAATGATGTGGAAGGAGTGTCATAATGATGATAACAAAACCTGTCATCTGTCATATTCTTCGATGCTCATCTCTCGAATGTTTTAATGCAAATTCATATTCGTCGTTACAAATTCATGTGATCAGAATATCTCCATAAAAATCGCTATCACTATCTTGAAAATGTTAGAATTCCGACACGTCGCAAATCAAGTTGAAATGTCGCATTCACCTACCCTAAACACGGATTTAGATGGCACCCTGGAACGGAGCCTCACATAACTTTTTACGCATAGTACGGTGGCGTTCTCATTTTTATCTCTATACTCGCTTATTTTGAGAAAAATTTGAAAAAAAGTCAACTATTTTATATTTTTGATGAGCTATACGAAATCTTAACCGAACTGGATGGAAATATACAGGGTATCCTTTAAAAAAAGCAATTTTTGGCTATTGATTTTCAATTAATTTTAGTCATTAATCGAATAATACCTTGTATACAACGGTCAGTGATACTTTTATAGTCTTGAAGACCCTTATACTTCCTGTATAAATATTTTGTCCAAAAATTCGCAAGAAGCCTAATGGCCAATGGAGTAGCGTACCTCTACCTGCATGATAAGCCAAAGATCGTGGGTTCGAATCCAGTAGTCCACCAATTCTTGTTCTTTACTTTTTCCGAAGTGATGAATTGAACAAATACTGTGGATGCATCTATTTGTTGGAGCATACCAATTTATTATGTGTACATTTCAATTCTAATAAATGTTATTCTTGGGCCAAGATATGTCCATCATCTGGATCGAAATGGACATCCATTGGATGTCATGTTCATAATATATCTGAGGATATTCCTTTTCAATACTTTCATACGCGAAGCCAATCAAGGGGTTTCACTATCGATGGAAATTTGTTTTAACAGACCTCTAATCACATAATCGTGATTGGGTTTTTTCAACGACCTGTACGATGGATATCCATACTAAATGAATTGTCTATCATCAGTTTTTGTGAACGATTAGTATTTTGTATTCTTTGGGTATAGAGGGTGTTTCTTAAGTACGTGTAGAAATTTCAAGAGAATGTTGCTGACGTCAAAATAAGAAGAAAAGTTCGTATAAACATATGTCCGAAAGTTATCCGTTTCAGAGATACAGAGTGTCAAAATTGAATTCTTATTGGAATAGTTCAAACATTGTCGATCTAAATGAAAACCTAGTAGTATAGCTCCTGCCTACTAACTACCTAACTAGGATGTCATCTAGAACGAGAATGGTTAAAAAAAGCAGGTACAAATAAGTAAGAATCATATTTTGCCTACATTCCAATGTGGAATGAAGACGAATATTGAATGAAAGAAGAAAAATGCACCGGCGTATCTTTTCTGATATTCACTAGAGGCGACTTACGAGCCACATGGAAATAATTCGAATGCATCGATTATTTCGAATCCCAAAAACTCGAAAACAGTTGCTCGCAGCGACCTCTAACGAGAATATATTTTTTACACAGAAGTGTTCTAGAAATCAATTTTTTCACTATGAAACGTTACACAGGTACGCACAAAAAAGTTATAACTTTTCAAAAGACTCAAAAGACATGTATGTGGCGCCACCCCCACGATAGAGACAAACTAACATTAAATTTGATATTGTCATTGAGAAATACCCCTGGACACAGAAATAAGAATTCAACTTTGACACTCTGTATCTCAGAAACGAATAACTTTCGGACAAATATTCATACAAACTTTTCTTCTTATTTTGACGTCAGCAACATGCTCCTGGATTTTATACACGTAGTTAAGAAACACCCTGTATAGGTACCATTAAAATTCAGTATAACTGAAACTCATTTATTACCAATCAAAATTAACCTCCAACCATTATTTCGGAAGATGAAGGAAGGATAGGAATAGTTTTCAAACTGTCATTGAAGCCGAATGAAATAATTATAACCAAGTACCTAATTCATAAAATATTCAGAAATAAACACCAGTTATTCCAAATTGAACACACTGTGTTGCACTGTATATTAATTTTCACTATGATTTTGAGGAACAAGAAATACTTACTCATTCAGACCCAATTTTAGATTACTCCCAGCACTTTTCAGTAGCCCATGGGCTTCTAGATTCGTTAAATTATTGGTGCGCCTGCCGTTAATCGATGAAATCAAGTCGCCTTCTCTAATCCCTCTAATCGCCGCCTTGCTGCCTGGGTTCACCTGCAACAAGCGATACGCGGCGATGTATTATAAGTTGCATAGCTAGTAGGTTACATAAGTTACAGTCGCTATAGCAATGCTCATTTCGATAGGTTAGTGGCTATACTATAAACAATGTTGATATGACAATGGTGAACTAAAATTAGATGTGCGCGTAGAACAAAATATTCGGCAACTTTTCATTGTTAGCCTGAGCAATAAGGTGGATGTGAGTCATTACTCATTGTGCAACACATATTATTTTGGCGGCTGTAAATTTTAAAATGAGATGGAACTTGACATAACAAACGTGGCCAAGCTGATGACCATATTGACTTATAATCCCAGACAGCACCAGATATTCCATGAATCTCCCTATCATATTCCTTTCATAATATTGGGATATTCTAGAAATAATCTGGAATATTCCGGAATATCTGTGGAATAATCTCTAAATATGCGAATGAGAATTCCTCAAATAATCATAGAATATACCCAAAAGAATATTCTATGTTGAATGTTCCTGGAATATTCCAATGAACATATTCTAAAATAAAAAAAAGTGACCCAAGTAGGGATCCAACTCGTGACCTCAAGACTATCAGAGCAACGCCTTGACCACTAGGCCAGTAATCGAATTGAATAATTTTATACATATCAAGTTCTTGTGAGAGCATTGTTCGAAATCGGATCATAAACACTTTTTGTTTCAAAATCTCCCTACATCTAATTGATGTTCGATACTCACATCTCTGAAATAATAAATGGTATTTATGTGTTGAGAAACATAGGAATATTCATGGAATATTTCATGAATATACCGCACAGAATATTCAGTTGGGTATATTTCATGAATATACCCCACAGAATATTCAGTTGGGTATATTTCATGAATATACAACAGAGAATATTCAGTTGGGAATATTCCTGGAAGATTCATACCTGAATATTCCCTAAACATGTCCGACTATTCACTTTGGAATATTCCTTTTAGATGTTCCAGAGGCATGTATATATTCTAGGAATAATCGATGAATATTCGGGATATACCCCTCCTTTTTAGCATATTTAGAGAATATTCTATGAATATCCAGTGCTGTCTGGGATGTCAAGTTATTGAGATGTGACTTCTTGTCATAGTTACCCTAACAACACAGGGATGTCCTAGGTACGCCCCTTTTTTGTCCCGCGGTACAAGGACATGATTGGGACATCCAGGGGATATCCTGCAGTGGTTGTCCAGTGGACATTCCACCCGGTACATCCCTAGGTTATCCTATTCGTTTCCCTGGAGTATCTGATATCCATTATCACATCAGAGTCATTGAATTTCATCAAACTATTGAGTTGAATTTTTTTGAAATTGTTTGTTTTTCTTCCGGAAAATTATTGTAATGAAAATGAAGAATAAAGTCTCAGAACTTCTTAAGAATTTACCATTTTTCGCAGACAGAAATCGTACATATGCATAATGCCCCTCATTTTTATAAACACCCAAGAGTGATGATAATCATACCCAATTCCTAACGAAGTTGTATTTATTCAGGTTTCTGTAGTCAAGTCCTGTTTATAAATCTGTTTAGTACATAAATCTTCAGGAGGCATGATAGCCAATGGAGCAAAGTGCCTGCATGATAAGCCAAAGATCCCGGGTTCAATCCCTACTCGACCTACAACTTTTTTCTTTTGTCGAGAGGATGTCCCTGGGATATCCTTGGGACGTCCTAGGTATATCCTTCCATCGTACTTGGTACATCCCAGGGACGTACCAGAAGGACATCCCTCGGATGCCTTTTTTTGTGGCCAGCGGATGTCCCTGGGACATCCCTAGTATGTACGTTGTCCCGACAAAGGACATCCCTGGGATGTCCTTGTATAAAATCAGGGACGTCCCTGGGAAGTCCCTAGGATGTACTGGTGTTGTTAGGATAATGTAACAAAGGTAATACCTATAATCATTTTGTCATGAAAAATTTAGTTTTTGAGATACAGGGTATTGAATAGGTGAGTGGACTATTTCTCTTCATTTCTCAAATATAATCATCACTCAAATACTATTCAATTTCATATTTTTTTAGAATTTTCTAGTCGATTTTTAGGTGCTAAATTCATAAAATCATTTACCGCGAGTAAAAACTGACGTCACGATTTCGTAAGTAGGGGCAGACCATGTTACCATGTGTTGAAATACAATTGGCAACTTCAGAAATATTAGAATAGAATTCTGGGTCTTGAACCACCCTGTATCTGTTCCGATTAAATATCAATGAATAGTGAATCAAAAGTTGAGATAGGGACATGTGACTTGTGAGCCGTTTTGACCGATAATGAATATTTTCTACCCCAAATAATCCTTGAGTTGAAGAATCTCGATTTTGAACATCCTATATCTCTGTAATCTTTTCCGATATATAGACCCCCAAGTGTGATATATCGATAAAATCAGCCCTTCAGAGAGGATCTGAAAAAATCGATGAAATACCGGGTGTTCTATTTGAAATATCAATGAAATATCTAAAATATAATCATGCACATTCTCATGGATTTCTCCCGACTGATTCTCGATATAAAGATATTGTGAGCTCGTCGTGACATACCCTGTATATAATATCAATTGAATTGAACCCCTATATGTTTCTAGTGATTTTTCCACACATGATTACAGACGAGAGCTTTTTTTGACAAAGTATAAACTTGATATTTTGAAGAGAATTTCGTTGCCTGAAGATTAAACGAAAAATATTGCCTCCGTAGTCCGTATACAGTCTGTCCAAAATAAGGTTGCACAGCATGGAGATCTCGGAAACGGTAGGAGATACGAAGTCGATTAAATGGGGAAAAAGTTGCGCATTCGAAGGTTTATACCAACAGCCTTCGAAAATTTCCAAACTTGTCTTCACTTTCTCAGTTATATCGAAAAAAGTAAATTTTTGAATATCTATTTTATGTTTTTTTCTCCGTTATTATTAGAGATACAGAAAAACTGAGAACACTTTTTCATAGCAACTTTTGATGACGTTTAACGTGGTGATACCGATTTTTTTATGCGACGTTTCGTATTTGTAGAACCATCATCAACTTGTGTTTTTTGAATACGATCCTGATAATTTTAACACAGATTCTGAAAGATTTTTCATTTCGAATTCAACCACTATTATAAAAGGTGGTTTGTATGTGTTTCGACCTATTTTTTAGCCATCATCAATGTTTTTTCGTAATTCCAAAGGAAAAATGCCATCAGTTCCACTTATTTTGAAGGAAAATTAGTCAACACACTAATACCTCATGGTTCCAATCAACAACCCATTTCATTTTGCGGAAACGAAAATTCCATCCTTACATATTCAGAAGATGTCAGGACATTCTGTTAATGGTATACCAGGAAATGTCAAAATTTTCAAGGTTTGCCTCGAAAAATCATCTGGACTGATGATATCAGGTCACTAATAATGGTATCTTCAAGAGAAAAAATACACATTATTGGTCACGAGAAAATGAACATTTATACAAAACAGCGAGACACCAACACCGGTACACGAATTAGTGGTCCTTTCAATTACCATGAAACATGACTTCCGAACGTTATAGAAATTTGCTCGAGAATCATCTTGTGGAAGCTCTGGAAAATTCACAGATTGCGGAAGTTGAGAACTGTTGGTTTCAATAATAACTTTTTTTTTGTATCAGATAATCTATAAGAATTTGATAAGTGCCATTTATTTTTCAAAATGTATAGGTAACTCAAAGAGGTCAGTCAGATGGTCTATGAATGAAGTCGAATTTATCATTTTATGGACTGATTTCAGTGCCTGAGGATCAATTTTCATCGTCCTTACTGAAAGAGGTCTCTTGATTTCACCTGTATAAAACTTTCCACAAACACAAGTTATACTGTAAATACGATTTTTTGACCTCTTTCAGTAAGGACGAAGGAACATAAGTACAACATAAAGAAAAGACACATCGATAAATCGAAACTAGCTGAACATATCCATACTGAAGACGGACAACATATGGCAGAGTGGAATAATATTAAAATCATTGGAAAAGAAGATAACAACCAGAAGAGAAAAATCAAGGAATCTTCTTGCATTCTTCTGAACGGAGACAAACGCCTTGCTTCTTGTTCAGTTGATATAGACAGAACATGGTATTCACTACTAATATCTGAACATGAAAATGGTTAATTCAAGATTAATAAATGAAAACATCCTGTAACTCATTTGATTGCCAACGTCACCAATTGTCAGTGAAAACTGAAAAGCTTCAAGACAGATACGACTTTGCTGTTGAAATAATCTTTTCTTATGTTGAAAACGGGAGCAGAATCGGCCCTGAAACGTCCAGAGATTAGTGAAAATTTGATATTTTTCTATATACCTTTATTTCTCTTCTCCAAACTTTTTTCAATACAAATTGTCACTGACAAGCTAGTGAATTTTTCTTTTAGGCTCTCTGATAGGAGAATTCTTTAAACGCAGTGACATTTTGGAGCAAATCATCTGATTTGTCCTTACTAAACGTATATTGAAATAATATTCATATTTTTATTTTATAGAAACGAGGAGAGAAAATCCCAAAAAATTTGGAACAATGAATATACCACCTCCTCGATTAACCTACAGACAGTATTTATTAAAATTGACTTGCAATTTTTAGACAACAGGCTTTCTTGCAAAATTATCGGTGATTTTTATGCACTCGTTTAATCGTAGCCGAAAATAGTAGGGCTGAAGCACGTTGATATTTTGGAGAAAAACAACTTCGAAAAGTTGTAAGATTGTGAAGATTCAAAATAACAAAAAAAAAACAGTAATTCTTTAGACACATAAAAATGGATTAGGATGTTTTATTCAACGAATATTAGATACAAAAATTCATCATTCCATTGAGTACGGTTATTGATAACTTGATAACTTTTTAATTGCATATCATATAAGGAGAGACCTAAAATATTGAACCAGAATCGATAAAGTATTCAAGTTTTAAGTGAAGATTCAAGTTCAAATTTGTGAAGATAA